CACAGGCTCCGGACGCGCAGGCTCAGCTGCCATGGCTCACGGGCCCAGCCGCTCCGCGGCATGTGGGATCTTCCCGGACCGGGGCACGAACCTGCATCGGCAGGCGGACTCTCAACCACTGCGCCACCAGGGAAGCCCAAGGATGCAATTTTGAGGGCGCGTCTATTTGTGTCTGGGATCTCTGGGATCCCGGGGCCGTGTCCCCTGCTCGCTCTCAGGCCACCTGCGAGGAGGAAGATAGCTAGGCCGCTCTGCCTGGTGGTCTTGTTCCTCAATCCTGCCTAAGGCCGAAGTACTTGTTACTTTGGTAAACCAGCTGGTTCTCTGCTATAGGCTACAGCTGAGGCAGCAAATGTTTTGAGTTTGAAATTCCATCTGCCTCGATGACTGATTGTCCTGCCACAAATAGGTGAAGGTATTGAGACTGTCTGATAGGACATTTTAAAATAAAGACAAGAACTTAATCAATTCACTAAAGAGGAAATCCAAAAGGCCAACAAATATACGAAAATATACTCAACGTCATTCGTAATCAGGAAATGAGAAAACTAAAACCACAATGAGATACAATAACATGCACCCAGATTGGGGCGGGGGATGGGGGAGGAGGTCTGACAGTGTTTGCAAAGATATGGAGCCACAGGCATTCATACATAGCTGATGGGAGTATAAATCAGTACAGTCTCTTTGAAAAAGAGTTTGCCACTATTTGCTAAAGTTGATGATATGTACATTCTATGACTTACTCCTGGGTATATACCTTAGAGAAACTCCTAATTGTGTACAGCAGAAGATATGTACAAGAATGTACAAATAGTACCGTACAACATCATGGCAAAAAACAAAAACTGGAAGCAACCCAAATATCCATCAGCAATAGAAAGGATAATTTTTTATATTGCAGTGTTTTCCTACAGCAATGAAGAGGAACAAACTGCAGCTGAACACAATGACATAATGACTTTCAAAATAACACTGAGTGAAGGAAGCAAAACAATAAAGTATGTCTTTTTATTGGAGTAGAGTTGATTTACAGTGTTGTGTTAGTTTCAGGTGTAGAGCAAAGTGATTCAGATACACATATATGTGTGTATACATATATATACACACACATATATACTTTTTCAGATTATTTTCCCTTATAGGTTATTAAGGTATGTTTTCATTCATATAAATTTCAAAAGCGGCAAAACAAAATAAAATATTTAGAGAAGGATGTACCTACAGGTGATAAAACCATAAAGAAAGCAAAAGTCCAGATAGTGGTTACCTAGGGTTAGGATGGTGACCTTTCAGGGAGTCATGTTGCTACTATGATCTAGTTCTCAGCCTAGCTAGTAGTAATATGGATTTTTGTTTCACAGTTTGTAAATTGTGTGTATAGATGTTCTATTTATGTATATTTCTAAAATTTGAAAGGGAGGCAGTCCTTTCTGTACATTTCCAATCCCTACACTAGATAGAACTGGAAACGTGTTATCACATGCAGGCACACACACGCATGCACACATCAGTATAAAACCAAAGCTACAGACTTGCTTAATACACTTTTTTTCCCCAAAAACATAATCCTGGGATAATAATGATAGCTACTATTTATCAAGCCCCTCTCCCCATTTTTTTAATCAAGCACATCTCATTTAATCTTTACTATAACCCTGAGAGAGAGGAACTATAAGCCACATTTTACACATGGGGAAACTGAGGCTGAGAGATATGGAGTGACTAATCTTCAGTTGTTCAGCTCTAGGTGGTGAAACTGGATTTGGAACTTCTGGACTATCTGACTCCAAATCCTTTCCTCTATACAAAACCTGCTTCTCAGCAGATGTTAGAAATTCTCCCAGCCTCTGCTTTTGTCACGTTGCAAGGGCTGACCCAGTCCAGAAAAATATATGAAAATAACAAATACTTCTAATGACATGAGAGGGTTAACCAAATTTGGGGATGGCAAGGTGAAGAGAGATGCAAAGTGGGTCACAGACGCTGTTGATATAAAGAATCTCAGAAAGGTGAGAATGTGGATCTAGTCAATGCCTCTGCTGATTTTTCTAATCCAGCCAAACCTGTTAGTTTCCAGGTTTCAGAAATAGAAGTCTTTACCAGAATCTTGGGATTTGTTCATCCTAAATTAGAATACAATGTTAACAGCACCGTTTTGCCTTTCCCTGAATCCTGCCTACTAATTTCCCATTAGAACAATCGCTGGCCTCTGCAAATCCTTTGTGAAACAGAACAAGGGAAAAACAATAAATAAAATGAATAAGGAAACATAAAGCAAAAACCACATTAACCCCACCAATTTTCTTTCAGAAGTAGTAACTGCACAGTAAGCATGTGAGGAAAGAGAATTAGGAGGGACCAACGGCAGTGTGCCAATACTAAAAGGATAAGACATTGCCAAATAGAATTAACCATCGTTAAAAGTAGACTGACGGGGCTTCCCTGGTGGCGCAGTGGTTGAGAGTCCACCTGCTGATGCAGGGGACACGGGTTCGTGCCCCCGTCCGGCAAGATCCCACATGCCGCGGAGCGGCTGGGCCCGTGAGCCACGGCAGCTGAGCCTGCGCGTCCGGAGCCTGTGCTCCGCAATGGGAGAGGCCACAACAGTGAGAGGTCCCCGTACCGCAAAAAGCAAACAAACAAAAAAAAACTAGACTGACAGAAAAGCTGAGACCTTCTTTTTGAACATGAATCCATGATGATTATTGTGATGGAGATTCTGGAAGAACATCATCATCACCGAGTCATAGTGAAGGACTTCATGATGTTCTTACACTCAGTTATTCATTTATTTTATTAAAAAAATTTTTTTTATTGTGCCAAGCACTGGGGGTACCAAAAGGAAAAAGATACCCTCCTTGTCAGTTTTTGAAAAGCCAATTATAGTGGCTTTTCACTATAATTGGAGATGGAGCTGTAGGCAAACGATGGTGAAAC